CCACCTATGTATACGAGCAAGCATAAAATCATTGTTGTTGGGTTTGTCAATAATAATCATTGAGTTCAGGTAAAGTTGAAACCTGATTGTCCATTGCCTTCTGTCACTGGTCATTGAAGACAGAACTGTACTGAAGATGCAAAAGCCTGAGAGTCAGTATATGTGGGACACGTTAGGCACTGGAAAGACGGAGTTAGAAAGTTATCCTAATTTGTTTTGTAGTATTATATGTAGCACAATTTTTATTAAATGTATATATTTTACAGTTCTTTTATCGAGTGAGTTATTCTAGAAAAATTAATGCAGGAAAAAAATGAAAAACACTATATATAAGAAATTTCATATTTTCGGAATATTGTAGTAAATATCAAAAACTTTACAATTTATAAAATTTTATGGTAAATACCGAAATTGTACAATTTTCGGTAAGATAGCACATGTCTTTACCGAAAATTTCAAAAGTTCTTGTATGTAAATACTGGAAATTCCAAATTGTCGGTACTTTGATCTTTGTTTTGGTAAAAAAAAATTGTAATTTTTTGCAAATTGCCAATAAATACTCCAAATTTCTGGTAATTACATATTTAAAAAAAAACGCTATCTAATAAAGTGAATATCGATAGAACTACTCTAAATGTGAGGTGTCAGGTATAACGAGGTGCCATGTGCTCCAATAAATGCATTTATAACTCAAGGGATGGAATGTTTACATTTTTATCTTTTAATTAGTTTAGTATATGGATATAAATTCAAGTGTTAAATATACAACACCCCTCTTATAATGTTAGCGGGTTTCGCTTTGACCTCCTGTAAAAGATTTTTTTAAACCACCCACCTCGCAATACCCAGATTCCCTCATTATGCCTCCCCGTTGAACCTAGATTCTATTTTTCAATGACTTGGCGGTCTAGCTGGATTTTAATTTAATTTTGAGAAGCCTCGTGAAATTTCTTTATTTATTTATTTATTTTTACTTTTTTTTTAAATTAATTATTAAAATTTCACTTAGGCTTCCCTATTATTTTTCAGACTCAATAACACTTCCAATTTAGCTCATAACTCAAGTTTTGTAATGAGTATGGAAAAGAACTATATAAGCACTTCCTTTCCTTTTTCAAATTTCGATGTGGGACTTCTTTTAACAATACGTGTTTTAGTTTTCCATCTACTTCTTCTTTCTCCCTCTACCATATCAGTCGTGTAAACTTGGTAACATGCATGGAATTTATAAAAATGCATTATTCTTAATCTGCATTATTCTTATACTCAAGAGATGTTCTATTATTTTTTTATTCAAGCAGCAGGATTATTCACAAACCAGTGATTATGCAAGCTGCATGATTAACATACTATTAGTCATGGTGTAATTTGATATATCATTGTGTGATAGATCAAATCGTAATGTATCATTGCTTGTTCAATCTCGTTTTTCAACTCGAAATGCATCATTGCATGTGGAACATCATAGCTGCTAGAAAAGTATGGTTGCTTGTGGAACATCATTGCTTGATTAGAAATTTAAAAATCACACTATCCAAAGTAATGATATCTAGTGTAGATTTAATAGTTGTTACATAGACTGATAATGATATCCAAAATAATGTTTCCACTTCCAAGAGAATAAAATATTTGGCATTAAAGAAGCAATAATAAAGACGGTTTTCCAAACCCACAATATCTAAACTTTTAGATTTTCAAAGTAGAGAGAAGTGGAAGAACCATGTAGTAGCATTATAAATACGGTTTTCCTATTCTTACCAACACAAAGCATCATCGAAGAATCAAAATGAGTTCCAACAATGTTGTTCATAATCAAGAAGTTGCAGAGGGTCAACATGGTGTTCAGAACGAAGAAGTCGTAAAGGGTTCAAAATGTTATCAAGAACCATGAAGTTGCAGAGGTTCAACATGGTGTCCAGTACGAAAGAGTTGCAGAGGTTCTACATGGTGTCCAAGTGGTTGTGCAAAGAAGAAGAAACAGGAGGAGGAGAAGTAGAATAATCAGGAGTGCTATCTTCAACTCTTCGAATGATGATGAAGCACCATACACTTGGAGTAACTTTCTGTCATCTAAGGCGTTTAGATTTGAGGATTAAAAATGAAAGTGTTTTTCTTGTCTTCAAGCATACTTTTTGTCTTTGTTTTAATGTTTTCTTGATGATGTTGATTAATCATGCAATACTTTTTGAATGATAATGTTATTGTTTAATTGTTTTAATGTTTCTGTAGAATTGGATAAAAAAGGATTAGTTTTTATTTGAATGATAATGTCTTTGTTTTAATTGCGAAGTTTTTCTTTCTGCAATATGAATGAAATGGTAATAACCTGTTGTGTTTGAAGCATCATGTGACATAAATATCCTTGTTGCATGACACATGAAAGCTAATGTGAAGAAAACTTGGTCAAATAACAGTATGTCCAACATGTTTCAAAACTAAAGTCTGAATAATCATCAAGTATGGAGAGAATCCTATCTATAGTGAAATATAGTTATAATGATTTAATACTAACTTGATACAACTATTAGTGAATATAATCTATAATATGCTTCTATTGAAACGTCATCTACATTAACATAGTATGAGTGATGATATGGTTGTTTTAATGTTGGAGCAGTGAATTGAAGTGTGTATGCAATGTTGAAGGAAGGATGGATGTGTTGTGGTTGTAAGGTAAATGGTGGTGTTCATGCTAAGGGAAGCAAAAGCAGCAGCAATAGTTCTTTTTGCCGATGGTGTTCATGCTGGTAAGATTGTGGTTGGAATGACACATGATAGCACTCAAGTTGTTATCCAAAACAAAAGCAGCAATAGTTCTTTGTTGATGATGTTCATGCTGGTAAGATTGTGGTTGGAATGACACATGATAGCACTCAAGCTGTTATCCAAAACAAAAGCAGAAGCAACAATAGTCCCACATTAAAATTTAATGTACAAAATACAAGTGTTTATAAATAACTTTTACACAATAATTAACAATTCATTAAAAATCAGACTTCTATTGATAAGAACAAGGACTGGAGGCCCAAGCCAATATTTTAATAATTAATTTATAAATTAATTTACATAAATAAATTAATTACATTAATAAAAATAATAATTTGTTAAAAATAATAATAAATAATAAAATAAATCCACGTCGATTTAAAAATAAATAAATAAATGTCACGTGACTCAATAAAAAAAATATTATCTAGGACCATGGAGAAGTTTATGAAGAGATATTTATTACATACTCATGTGACAAGGAACGTTACTAATTTTATAATATGTGATGTTACTAACTTTATATATGTTGAAAACAAAAGAGGTAGTAGGAAAATAAATAATAAAATAAAACAAAAAGGTAGTTAGAAAATAAATAATAAAATAAAACAAAAGGGGCAATAGGAAAATAAATAATAAAATAAAACAAAAGGGGCAATAGGAAAATAAAAATAAAAAATAAAACAAGAGGCAAACGGAAAATTAAATAAAATAAAAACAAAAGAGGCAATTGTTCACCAAACTATACTAGACACTGGTGTGCAGCCATGGTCTGTAGCATTTAAAAATTATGCATTTCTCTTAGTTTGTTTGACCACAATAATTAGAATGGTCAAATCGCCACCTTGCATAGCATACCACAATTTTCCCAAGTTTGTGGCATTTAAGACAAATTACAAGATGAACTTTTTAACACCATTCTTAAGACAAATTACAAGATGAACTTTTTAACACCATTCTCAAGACTTTAGAGTCACTACCTTTACCATTGGTTTGACAGTTTCATGCTTTGGAATATCAAAAGAGAGCACAGTCTTGTTGGGAAGGACAGTATATGAGAAAATTTGGAGGATTTGAATAAACATTTGCTTTAAAAAAACTACACATCTTATGTTAATAGGGCAAGCACTGTTCCTACTGTTAATCAGTGGTCAGAGTGGTTCAACTTGAGATCTTTGTGTTTTAGATAATGTAAATGCTATTCCTACGAGTCTCTAAAGGCGAACCTCAATCTCCTATAACAATTCTTCTTAGATATAAAAGAAAAAGAAAGCCAAGAATCCAATGACTAAGTACACTATAGAACCAAACCAATAAAAGATAGCGCAGCAGCGCACCATAACTAAATTTAAGAGAACTAAAATCTCTCCTGGCTTAAACCAGATCTCCGGATTCAAATCCAGACCTAAAAATGCAGTGGTGTTATAACTTTTGGGGAGAATTTGGATCCGGATTTCCTGCCTGCCTGCAAGAAGGGAAAGGTATGTGCCTTTCAACCAACCTTGTCCATACTATAAATCGTGTGCTCCCTCCAAAATAAACCGCGTGTCAGACTTCATTAAAATTAAAATAAAAAACAGACAAGTCCAGATTAAGACATCTCAGTATCACACTGCCAACCCACTTCACTTCGCCAACCTGCAACGCATCGTCTGGAAAAAAATTGTGGGACAAAAAGCATAATAGTTGCAGTCTTGCAGAAGAAAACAAAGGCAAATGCATGGCTTATTTTTTTAGTACAAGATTCATCAGATGGAGAAGGTTGTTTGAAAGGCAGGGAACCTCATTTCAGCCGCCACACCGCTCAACTGTGCGCGAAGGATTTCCGGTGAGAACCGAAAAAGATATCTGATCAAATCATAGTCATACAAACATAAAATCCATCCAAGGTTCAGACAAACCAACAGTACCAAACACAGCATAAGCACACAAAATCATCAAAAACAAAAACCTCTAACAGTTAGTATTAAACACAACCAAAATATAATCGACACTAAGGCCTAATAACATTTACATAGAATCTCAATGGATTATCCAGCTAACAAGAATGTCACAGTACATATCAGCATCTGTATCTTACCAGAAACAATCCAATACTTGTTGTTCTTATCTTAATTCTAAACCCAACATAAAGTTAACCTTTTAACAACAAAATACTAACACAATTTAAAAATTAAATAAAGAGCAAACCCACCTTGCCTTGAAGACTCATCAGAGTAAATTTTCACTTTTTTTCACACCCTGAGAATCTGAAGCTTAGTGGAGAAAGCAATAGCAACCCAATCAGGCTGAGAAGAAGACCACTGAAGCTGTTCAATTTCAGCACCAGCAGTATAAGCCAAAATAGGATCAAGCCCACCTTCAACAGGTTGACCCATTGAAGAAAGATCCCAAATCAACGCCTGAGAATCATCCCCAGCAGTACAAATATGGCAAGAACTATGTGGTGCCCATGCAATAGCATTTACACTAGCTTGATGTCTCTGCAATTCCACAACCGGTAGCGTCGGAAAACGAATATCAAGAACAACAACCTTAGCAGTATCCATAATAATCGTAGCCATATAACGAGGATCCTGTTTATTCCAACCAAGCCTAACCAACGGTGTATCAGGTTCAGAACTCTCGTAAATTATAGTCGAATGTTCCTTATCGCGTAAATCAAAAACCCTAACGGAACCATCAGCAGAAACCGAAGCGAAAACACCAACACCACCCCAAGCTATATCATACACCTCTTTATCATGCGCAATCAATTGCGTATCAACGGTTTCTTTTTCAATATCCCAAATCGTACATGTAGTGTCAATACTGGAAGTTCCGATTCTTCTCGGTTCAGCTTCATTCCAATCAAAGGAAGTAATAGGACCGCAATACTCACTGTTTTTGTTACCGTTCAGGAGGCTTTTGAGTTCGACGCGTGACTGTGCCTCGTCGGAATCGGAGATTCGCCATATTCGGAGAAAATCACTGGAGGTGGCTAAGAGGTCAGGGCGTTGACAGTCTTTATCAGGGATGAAGATTGCTTTGGTGGGTGGATATGGATGTTCAAAGGAGAGATTTGGATCGGATTTAATTTCGCCGTTTGTGTCGTCAAGTTGAACGATTTCGACTCGGTTAGGGTATTGTTCTAGGAGAGAAGCTATGGCTAATCGGTATTTTTTGTCGCGGCGGACACTCCAGTTCATGGCGTAGATGTGCCATGGGGCTTCATAGGTGTAGATCTCGGAGCGTTTTTGTTGTTCGTCGGAAGGGTCTAGGGTTGGGTCTGTGGTTGCGCCCATTGGAGAAGATGAAGGAGGAAGAATCAAAGTAAGAGTGGCTACTTGAGATAGCGAGGAATAGGGGGAAATGTTTTGGGGCCCACTATCTCTTAGAACAATTGTTAAACCAAAACTTTGTACAGATTACGTTAGTAATAAAGAATTTTCATTATATAAAAATTGACATGGCATATTGACTAAAACTAGTTTACGTCTCCTACACAAGCAACGTATTCTAACTCATTATTTAACATAAATAATAAATTTTTATTAATTATTTAACATAAATAATATATTTGTATTAACTATTTAATATTAAGTTTGAATTCCTTATAAATAATTAACATTAAAGTAAAAATTTCTTAATTCAATTTTAGATTGCTTAAATCATTCATGTTAATTTGGACTCACGTAAAATAACTTAGTTCATCCAATTTAGTTGCTCCCATTAAAGATGCTCTAAGTGTTTTTTTTATTATTCCATGATAATGCTTATTTACATTTTATTTTACAAACCTATTAGAATCCACACATTAGTTAGATGGATATATCTATACAATTTAATTTGTCATTCCAATTATATCCGATATTTTCCGTAATTTCAATTTTTCAAAAATTGTTTCTAATAAAAAATTGAATGAAATTTCTGCGTAAAATTTTTTGTAGTTAAATCAGAATTTTTGGTATAGACTAAAGTTTTGATATATCAGAATTTATGAAATTTTCGAGAATTTACAAATAATACTGAAAATTCTAAAATTACTATTTTATATCAGAAATTTTAATCAAAGTGAAATTGTTTATAGTGTTATTTGTTTAAAAATTTAAATGCTCAAGATTTTATTGACAGTTTTGGACTGCTGTGGTTGCATCGAAAATTTTGTGTGGTTCAGAATAAATGCAAAGTTGTATAAATAGGAGGTCATCTGTTGTTTGATAAAAACATCTCAAAAAATATATCTTCCTCAATTTTTAGTTAAGGTAGAAATGTACTTCAACGAAGCTTCACCTCTCGTAAAGTTTCGGCTTCTGGATGGCACCACATGTCTCGTCACCTTGACGTCCAAGTTAAATGAATTGTTGCCTGATTTCGAAAATAGAAATGTGGAGAAAATGAGTTTCATGTAGATTGGATTGATACTAACTGAATGGTGAAATACAACCTTATTGAGTTGAAGACCGATGAAGATGTGAAAGATATGTGGAGATCATTTCGTCGTAGGTTAACAAAGGGTCGATTGAGTTAGATGTTAAGATTTCACGGTCTGTTGACGACATAATTAACGTTCATAATCATCTGGTAGCGTCTAGGTTTTCTTATTTATTATTGTTTTTTAAGTTATGTAATTCATTGTCAAATGTTAGTTTATGTTGATGTTGCATCAATGGAAGATCAAAAATATTATCTAATAAAAATTTCTGATGAAGATGTCTAAGTAATGTTACATGTAATATACAATAATACATAAAGATAACAATAATGTCTAAATAGACCCTTCACGAGCTATGTGTGCAGCACGAGATAATCCAGTATAAACCTCGTCATCTTGGTTTAATAAACTCGTGAAGTTATCCATAATAACTGCAATCATCTAGAGGTGCTGATGGTCATTGACATCACTGTAAGAGACGGCGGCAGCGAAACGTCATTCACGGGTACCCCAACATCATTTGTATGCTCTACAGGTGGGATGATACGAGGGTGTGATACAGTGAGGTACCACTCTAAGTAACCATCCTCACACTATTAGGCGTGTTGAACTGTAATTGTGCGATCTCTAATGGCACAACCAGAGTTGATGATGTTACTCTAAAACCACTTGCCAATGCCTGTAGATGGTATATCTGGAACAAGTCATGGGATGCTTTGAACATATACATATTGTCGGAAACACCTCTCAAGCAAGTGTCTTGCAACCATGATATTCCACCACATATAAGCTGAATATAAATAAGAGTCATCAAATTCACGGTGGACTCTATGATTAGTGTATGGTGCCCATATGACATCATCTACAGTCAAGACATCTAAACTCCAGGATGTGACTATTCGACCCTTCATCTCCTCGCTCGTGTGGCCATAATGGAGGGATGCAACACCTTCCTGTCACATATGGTGGGGGAAATGCTCGTATATCCAGTAATGATAAAAGAACACAGACACAACATATAATAATTAAGAAATGTTATTTGTGGAACTGATCTTACCGCTCGGTGTTGGGTGCTATGAATTGTGCAGAACTGCCCATACTCAACAGACTGTTTTCAATGTGAACCGGTTGGAACCACTTGTCCAGTCCGTATCTATGAAGACTCAGCCTCAGCAGTCCTAGCTTGGTCTGCTGCTCTATTTGTCACTCTGTCTACAATAGTGTCGTCCATGTCCCTGTATTTCACTACAAAAGATGGAAAAAATAAAAAATATTAATAACTACCAGAAATTTCACAAAATTTAATACTTTTCTAATTTTTCCAAAATCTCTGAAATTTTTAGTGAAAAGCAAAACTTTTATAACTACCGGAAATTCAGAAATTTTTAGGAATTTGCAGGTTATTTTGTATCTGAAATTGTGAAACTTTTGAGGTGGCTGTTTTCATTATTACCGAAATTTTAGAAATTTTAGGTACAAAATTATGCAAATTTCTTTATTTACAGTAAAAAAAACATATTTTTTTTTCAAATTTCCAGTAGACCAATCAAAATTTCCGCTATTGCTCCAGAGAATTCAAAATCGTGCGTGTGAGAGGTGAATTTCAAAAAATGGGTGAAAAACTATTGTAGTGGCAACATTGTTTATTCATACGAAATGGGGGTATCAGGTTCAAGTGAGGGTGGCAAGTTAAATTCTCATATGTCTAGGGTGTACATGGATTGGGCAAACCTTATAAACCAGGTAAAACTCACTCAAACTGGTCCAAAAAACGGGTTGGATCGAGTTATTGGGGTCAACATGGTTTTCGAAAATGAAAAATCATTTAAAATAATTGGGTTATGGGTAAACTGTTTGAGTTGTAGTATAGTGGTAAGAAGCAAAATATTTGGAAGAATTCTCTCTGAGATTTATATCGTCTCCACAGGGATCGGGGCGAGGGAAAGAACTGTGTTCAATGGTATCTACGTCTCTAAGCTTGGTTTGAATGGTTTGAGATAAAAATGCAAACAAAAAAACATACGAGCATATAAATAAAATACGGGAAATAACTCTTCAAGAGTTGTATTTCATTTTACCCATCAAGTACTAAAAAATCTACCAATCAATTATACGCAACCTAAATCACTCGTCAAAACTCCCATGTATCGCTCACAATAAAGGTTATGTCTAACGCAAAATTGAGAGAACGACAACATCGCCTCATCGATGATGTCTCACGCAACCCGACAACATGGAGCATTAAGATCTGATACCCAAGTGGATGTTAAACCTAAATCTAACAGATATTCATCTTAAGTCAAGTTTGAAACGTATATGTCTATAGCGATCCAAACCCATTAACATAGATAGTAAATCAAAGATGACATCGATTCAGAGTTGTAAATGAGATTTTATACAAAGATCCATACATACACATACAATCAAAGTAAACATACATACAACAATCCCAAAAATTGCAAAATACATAGAGAAGAATGAAGAAGAACAAACATCTCATGGTTTTGTCAACACCGACTGAAGTAGATTCAACTCTGGATCGTCAAGATGCAACATTTTTTTGTTGTTTCTGAACTTATTTCCACAGAGAATGGGTTTGATGGAATTGGGAGAAAAAAATCCCCAAAACCATCCCTTAAAAATCTGAATGAGGGGTATTTATACAAAACTGAAAAATTACAATCGCGCTAAGCACTCTCAGATCGCACTAAACGTGATCTCAATTAAAGTACCTATCAAACCGCCTTAAACCATGCTAAGTGTGGTCTTGATTGCTAAGCGCGATCAAGAATCCAAAAATACTCCCAGCGCGCTAAAAATCGCGCTAAGCACGAATGCCAGCATTTTGATTCTAAAATTCTGCATATTGAAGCATCCCTCTTGGCTCAATTGGGTCCATACTTTAACCATGCATTATTACCTATAAAAATAGAAGAAAACTATCAAACTCACTGATATGTACACGATAACGCAAAATATACAACTGTATGTAAATTATACAAAAAGTACACAAAAAAGGGGAATTATTAACGGAAACAAACGAATATAGTTGTTGAGTGCTAATTATTTACACTCAAAATAACAACAATTTGGCACTCAACAAACTCTCCCCAACTTAAACTTGTTTTTCCTCAAACAAGAATCGATCAACTCAAAGAAACAAAAGATATTATCAAAAAATCATGTTCAACAAGTCTTTACAGATGAAAAAAAAGTATAATACACAAATCAAAAGTATATGTAAGGCATGCTTACCACTAAACTACTACGACACAAACAAATATGAAATAAAGTCTAAGCACAAAACACATGTCAAAAATTCTAAAACAAAAAATGTTCAATAATAAATTACACCTAACACACAACTTCATCAAGAAATAAAGAAAAAAAACAACATGAAGAACAAACTCTCACACAACAATCTTGCTAACAAAAATTCAAATTATGCATTCATCTAAAAAAACTCATATTGAAAGTGTGAGATGTTGGATCAAACTCTAGTATGGTCGAAGTCTGTTCGCGAGTAATGTATGTTGTAGTCGAAGTTTATTCTAACATGTATTAGTCAATATTGCTAGGTTTGTTAGCATGTTGAATTGGGTTTTGCTTGTAAGCTCAATTGTTTAAGTTAGCTTGTACCCTAAGTTAGCTTGTAATGGGTAATTGTTAAAAAGCCCATTAGGTTAGTGTGCTATTTTATTATAAATAGGATGCTAATGTCTCAATCATGATATAAGGAAAAACAGGAAAACAAAATCCTAATTTCAAGAGAGAGACGTTATTTTTTTATTCTTGTATACTTGTAATTTTGTTCTAAGAGAAAGGAAAGAATAACAGTTTAATAACCAATCCTTGTTGTTTTCTTCTTTA